CACTTACAGATTTAAAAAATCTATATATTATACAACATGCTTCTAATATGTATATGGTCTCTCCACTCATAACATTTATACAAATTAGGAGAAATCATTTCAAGAGTGAAACTAAGCAGAAAAGGACATATTACTACAAACAAGTTATTTTCCTAAGTTAGTCAACAACATAGACAATGAGTGGTTTTTGTTAAAAAGTCCCATAAATGGGAAGTAAATAAGCTATAACTAAACATCCAATTTTGGCAACAAATGCTACAAGCTAATGAATTTTTTCATGGTAGTTATATTTTAGTAGAAATCTCATTAATCCTGTATATTGGTGGCTGCATGTTAACATTCTGTATCAGTAAGTAAATATCTAATTCTTTGGAATCTGAAGTGAATTAAACATTTAATGAACTCTAACACCAGGAAGCTCAAAATCTGAGATCTGACTTAAGTATGTTGGTTGTGAATATATTACATCTGCACCATGAAGGTCAGAAACTTTCCAGAAACACTCAATTTCTGTTTTAACTCTTTCCTGTTGACTTTCGAAAGTGGCAAAATCAGAGAATAATGTTATCCTCTGAAACTATCCTCATACTAGTTTTTCACCTTTAATTACTCTCCATTTCCTCAAAACACAACCTTTAAAAAGCATATTTTAATGTCAGATTCCAGGGTAGGCCCACTTCTACTTCCTCTATTTTTCAAAAAGTGGAACAATTCCTTAAGAGTCAAATTATTTTGATGCCCTTGAAGTATTTCTTATGGCTTTGTAGGAAAAAAGCTGATGCCCTATTGTGCGATTATATGGGATCTTAAGCAGGGGTCCCTAAACCACGCAATATTGTATACTTTGTGGAGTTATGTAAGGAAGTCCCTAGGATTCACCAGTCTCAAAGGGCCTATAACCCTAAAAGATTAAGAACAATTGCTATAGTGAATTTATGCTTATACCTAAACCTAATCATTACCCAATCTCCTACAAAATCTAACTTCAGATAGTACCATACAAATGCAAACGTTAGTAAATGTCTTTTACTGGGTCAAGAGAACTATGTAAAAAGAAAGGAAAAACTAAATTTTTCTAAACATTTAGTTCAATGACAAAGCTATTAGTAAAATACTGGGTTTGGAGCAATGAAAAGAACTGAAGGTTGGGTTTTGTGGTGAAGAAACATTGCATTCATTTTTCTCAGTAGTTTCTATGTTGAAGGAGCAGTAGTTTTTTTATCATTATTTCCCTTGGTGGAAAAATCATATTATCTGAAGAAGCAAAGTTGGTTCTTGCAGGTTTACGTAATGCAACAGTTTTTAATATATAGCTGGGTCCAAGAAAGACCTTCCTATGACTTTAAAAATAATTAATTCTCCTCTTTATCCTCACTGGCATATCCCCACTCCTCCACCTCCCAAGTTTTCTTAATTTTGGCCGTTTTATATACTATTTGTTGGCTTTGGTGAGGTAATACATTAGGTTTTCTTGCTTAAAAAAAGAAATTGGCCAGTTTCCATCTGAAGAAAGAGAGAAAACACCAAGAGGCTAGTACAGGAAATGAAGCAACATTTGATACAGAATAAGTGTGGGGGAAAAAATCTCTTTGTTATTATATCAATTTAAACATCCCCCCCCCCCAATTAATTAAAAGTATAAGTTTCCAACTACAACTTCAATACAGTTGAATTTTTCTAATTGGCACACTCCTAACTGCTGGTAATATAATTAGAAAAAGATGAGATCAGAAGCCACGAGTTTAATATATAAAGCATGTAAAAGAGAAATAATCTGTGTTGAGTTGAATAAAAGTAGAAATGTTCATTTGACAATGAAGTGGAGGCTAATGCTTCTCATCATTTCTGCATAGAGCATTCTATCAGTAATAACACTTAACTGACACATTATTCTCATTAACAAACAATGAAGTATTATAATCATAACATTTAGAAAATGTATTCTTAAATATTTCAAGCATATTCTGAAGTAATGTTTAATTTAAAACAAATACAATCCAAAACTCATGACACATTATTGAAAGAAATAAAGTAAAATTAGGCTTCTAAAATTTTAAGCTATAAAGAAGTCTTCCTAAATCCTAAAAACAAACAAACAAACCCACAAGAAAACCCTTACTAATGAAAAGACTAGATGACTCAATTAAAAAATGGTCACCTCACCAGCAGGATCTGCAAGCAAAAGTATATGAAACTCTTTAAAGTTCCTTAAACCTCAAATGAGTGACATTTATATCCTGAAATATTTACAGAGTATTTTCTAATACCAAATCCTAACATAAAACTGTACAAATAGCAACTAAAACATTAAAAGGCTTAAACCTTTCACTCAAACTTTATGAATTAAAAGCATATACATCATGAAATTAAAAATTAAAACAAAAGAGAAAACCCTTAACCAATTTAATCATTTCTTTCAGAAATCACAAACTGAATTCCCATATGAATTTGTCCAATAAAAATAGGCAGTGAAGTTATTTTTAAAAATTAAAACACATAGTAATCATTTAGCTAAAATTAGATATTAGCACTGGCAGTATGTTTTCAAGTAAAGAACAGTTTTACTTAAATAAGATAAATTTAGCTAAATATATATATTTTAGCTAAAATTTCAAAATCCACCAAAATTTCCAGGATTGCAGAGTGCTATGAAATCCATTACCCTTTTCTCTGACTTGCTGCTCTCAGCAGGCGAGTAAAGGCTATCTGTTCAAGGCAGTCAAGCATACTGAATAGACTTGAGCTTCATCAGTCCAACCTTATTCCTATGCTGAGCAAAATTTTCTTTTTTAACTTTGTGGAGAAAATAAACAGATTTTTAAGTGAATAAAGGAAGTACAAATCAGCTGCTTAGGGTAGAGACGGTAGAGACCTGTGTGTATCTGGCAGACAGTAGGTGGACATTAACTATTTTTTTGGATGAGTGACCCAGTTTTATTAACATATATTAGGTTGTAAATTCTACTCAAATGTAAACTCCTTGAGGGCAAGGACCTATGTATTCATTTCTTTATAGTACAAGATGTTTTGTCTAGCACAGTATTTTGCAGATAACTACTCAAAACATTTTGTGGAAAAGCTGAGTTATTAATTGGTCAATAGATGATCACTAAAAGTACTGCTATAATTCAGAGCATCTGAATTACATACTTGATTTATTCTTTGACCCAAATTGGTTATTAAGTTAATTTTTTTTTAAAAAATTAGCGGTGAAGCAGTACACTCATTGCATAGTACTCTAGAAGCAAGTTAATGCTTTATAATTAAAAATATGTTTCAAATAGTTCTAAAGCTGAGTAAGAAAAATACCTCTAGGATTTTCAAAAGTTAACACTAATATTAAGACCTGCTTTTGTTATCTGTAAAAGTATATTCCCTAAGAAAGTAGAAATTAAGAGTTTACCTTGCTAAAACAATAAGAGATCAGTGAAATTCTTTAATGTTAGGGTAACAAGAGTCTGCTATACAAAATGAATCTCCCACTAAAAGCAGCAAAGTGGGTTCATCCTATTAAAACATTTAAGCGAAAGCACATGTTGAATAGTATATTATCATCACACATGAACTTTTTCCCTCCAAAGAAAATAACATACAACACATCAAACAAATTTTGAGGCATTGCCCTGAGATGCTAATTAATTAGCACACAAAAGGGGGCGGGAGGTCAAGAATTTAAGTGGTACAAAAATGAAGTGCACAACAGAGGTGCAAAAGTGCCTTTTAAAAGTGTGGTTGGTTCCCTACAACCACCATTACCCCCAGGAATGAAGAACACAGTTTGCTGTTACAATGTATATTTTCTTCCTGTATTTTAATAATGAAAAACTATACCTAATATGGCAATGCTGACTCATGTAGAAAAGATTTAGTTTTCTCAGATCACACTTCATACAGTTTTCTCTCACTTCCAAGCCTAATTTCATTACTAGTAACTTTAACAGAGGAATATTTTGATTTTTTTTATTTAAAGATCCTTAAATTTAAAAAGGCTCTACATATGCTGTTATGGTTTAAAATATAGCTTTCTATCATATATCTTACTTGTGATTTAAGATTTTTCATTTCAAAAACTAATTGAAGTTTCCAGAACTAAAAACTGAGTCTACTTAAAAAAATTAAGGACCTGGCTTCTTGCAATAGGGATTTAGTTTTCAGTACCAGTATGTCTGGTAATCAATCTATACTACAAGCACTGCTATTCATAAAATGCACATTTAGATGCTTGCAAAGCCATAACTTAAAACATTATCATACTTCGCACTTTACCACAGATTTTAGACATTAAGCATTTATTTGTAAATTAAGTATGGAATTGGTTCTGTAATTCCAATTGTTATGAATTTCTAAATATAAATAGTACTTGTTTTTCTTAATTCATGCTAGATTAAAATATAAATTAAATACAGTTAAGTTACATTTAATCACCTCATGAATAAGAGGGATAATGAAAAGATTTTGTTGGTATGTAACTACTTAAATCTGAGACATTTCACATCACTTTTCCCACTATTCCCCTACCTTTAGATTAGTTTTAAGGCTATATATACAAATATGTATATTTTCAAATTATGTAAAAACAAAAGGAAACTAGTTATATTACCTTTTATACACAAAGTTTTGATCTTGTATTCAAATGTATTTTAATATTTTTCTAGTGGGGAATCTGCCTACTGAATGATTAAATTACATGGTATAAATACAATATTCAACCTAAAGAGACAAAAAATACAGAAGGGCACAGAACAGTAGTCTTTTCAATGTGACAGATTTTAAAACTTACTTTCACATGCTTAATCAGAGGAATTTAAGCCTAAATTAAATTAGTTTTTTTTATATCTACAGTTCTTTAAACTTTGAGTTATTTTTAAAGGCCAACAGCTAAATATTATCAACATGCTATATTTCAAATCACAAATACATCTTAACTACTTGGATTCTAAAGACATGGGCCAATTAAAAATCACAGGCAAACACACTCACAAACACACACACCTACCACAGAATGTTAGATTGTCAAGCTCTGACAATTATTTTAATTAAACAGTAGGCAAATTCGAGCTGATACATATCTTAATGAAAAATAAGCAGCCAGAAAGAAACCCATTTAAAAAATAGATTAAGGAACAACAGAGACTTAAATCTTTTAGTCTTGCTAATGGAAAAGAAACAGTTCCCTCTATGCCTTGAGTAACAGGATGTTCCAATTAAAAGAGACTAACATCTTTTCCCATAGAAACTTCTCATTTACAATGGCATGGTGTTTTAAAAGGGCAAGGTAAAGGAGGAATTACACATACATGATTAAATTTCTTGTTCGTTAAATCAAGCTTTATTGATAAAATGGAATTCAGAATATCTTACTAGGAACAGCAGCAGGCCCAGCCAATCATGATAGCAAAATGTGGCAGTCTCCTACTATCTGTAGGAAGCTGCTGCTTATCAATTAATAATTAAATGTAAGGACTTGTAAAAGAGGTGCAAAGAATCAAGGCATTTTAGCCCCAAGACTGATATTCTTATGAATATACTGTATAACCTGCAATACTCATGGCAACAAGTAGAGAACAACTTAGAGACAATTAAGTGAAGGGACCAGCTTTATCAACAATGCCAATCCCACTGCCAAGAACATTAAGATAGTTTCTAATTAACTCCCTGGATGCTTGGCTTTATAAGATTTTGGAATTTTTCTCCATAATCATGTGCACAGTTGAGCGTCTAGCTGACATGGCTGCTGCTCTCTCTGTCCCAACCCCAAGTCCAAACACAACATGACTTGAAAGATCTATATATCTGTTGCGTCACACAACAAGCCAAACATTTCTTATAACTTTGATAATGATTTAAAGCAGTTCATAATTAAATATGAGCATTTTGTACAAGGACAGTTACACTTTACAAAAAACAAAATCATACAACAAAAATTGCTGGAGTCTGATTTACAACATGAATTATGGTTTAAAATCACGTTTACATAAGTCTCAAATTTACAAAAAAAAATCAGTTCTGGGCTAGCTGTTGTACTGCTGAAGTTCTCTGGTGTAATCACTCTCACCCATGTCATATGCCCTTCTTTAAAGATGAGGATGAATGTTAAAAGGTTCAATGAAGTTGAGCTGTACTCTCCTTTGGAGGTGAAGATAAACTCCATGGCTAGATGAGCAGTTTTACCACATATCATCAGTCGATGTAGAGTCCTTCATAAAAGGAAACAAAGCAAAACAAGGAACTAAATTAAAGCACAGAGGTGCCAAAATACAATACTTTCTGGACAATGAAGAAGATAGGTTTTGTAAAGCTGACTTTCAGAATATGTTTCTTAAAGCTTATGTGTATATGTGTATATGAAATATCAATATTTAATCTTTCAAAAAATTGTTAACCCTTTGTTTTGTTTTCAAATACAATAGTACTTGAAATATGATTTTTCCATGAGTTTGACCAAAAGTATTTCTAAGCCAATAAAACCACTAAATATTTTTTTCTTCAATAAAACTCAATTTTTAAAACACTACTTTTATAAACTTTTTATTGCATAAGAGATTAAGACCTCAAGTAATATAAGATTCGAGGAGGCTTCATTTGCAATATATAAAATATTTCAGGACTTGCCCAAATGATTTGAAATTACCACTCTTCTACACAAACCATACTATAACACAACTGTAATAGGAAACGTAATTGAAGAATGGCATTCCAATGTCTATTTACATAAACAGAACTCTCTACTTTAATATTTAAATGAAGTATTAGTACTTCAGGTTCTTGGCAAAAGTATTTCCAACCATAAAAAAGTGGAGATGGGCATTCTGAAGTTCTGTTGTATCTGCTTACAAACTCAGATCAAGATCCTGAGTAGATATATTATTCCCAACTTCAAAAAAATGTTTAGTGGAGGCAAACCTCTTGAAATTGACTGCTTGTAGAGGCTTAAAAAACCCACAATAATTCAAAGGGACTTTCTTCTTTTTTGAGAGAGGTGGCCACTCACCATGATTATGTCCTCAATCACTAGAACTGTGGTGCAGGCAGAGTTCAGAGCAATCAATCAGGGGTGTGTGTAAAAGAATGGGTGCAGTGAACAACTCTGCAAAAACAGGTAGGAAGGATATGCATTTAGAGTGGAGGGGAAGGGAAAGCAGAGGGAACTAAAATGCTACTTACAGTGTCATCATTTTTGTAAGGATTCAGTCTATTGTAAACGGCTTCAATTATATTCCGCCTAAATTTTAAAAAATGCAGAAAGTTAATTTTTCTTCAGAGCATAAAGTTGTTTAATAACTCACAGCCAGGTGTTGATTAAAATGTCAAAGATAATTTTATACTTGGAAATTATTTTAGTTCTATTTCTAGCTGTCAATAAATGAGCCTCACTTTAAGATACTTGAGGCCCAAAGTTAAAGTAGAGGTAAATTTACTCTAAAATGTATTATGCCACCAACTTAATTAACAGAAGACTAAAAGTGAAAAAAAAAAAAATCAGCCACTATGATCCATTTCTATTGGAACTGTTTAAGTGGTTTTAAGTTGGCAATGATGAAGCAGTTCTTAAGATATACTAATATATTCTGGTTAAAAGTTGACTGTTTTGAACTAGAAGTTAACTTCAACCTCTGTGGTAGTAAAGTAATTTACATATATTTTACATTTCAGTTTGTGCTTTTTGTAATGCCCCTTTAAAACAGTTTTGTTAAAACTGAAGTGTACCCGGCCTGTGTGGCTCAATGGTTGTGTATCAACCCATGAACCAGGAGGTCACGGTTTGATTCCCTATCAGGGCACATGCCCGGACTGTGGGCTCAAGTCCCAGTGGGGGGACATGCATGAGGCAGCCGATTGATGATTCTCTCTAACATGGATGTTTGTATCTCTCTCTTAAAAAAAAAAAAAATCACTAAAAACATATCTTTGGGTGAGGATTAAAAAAATCAAACTGAAATGTAAAGTATGACATTTCCCTGACAAGTCTAGGAATTCGTTTTTGAATAATATTTCGTAAAAAAAAAATCTGTAGTGGTATTTTAGCTTCCCTACTTCCAAAATCAATTTGAAAATTTTATAGACATTCATTTCACAGAAGGTCATGTGGGAAAAAACGTTTCCTAAAAACAAAAGCTACAAACAGGAAGTTTTATAATGACTAAATGTGAAAGGATGATAAAAAAATATGGCTACACTTACAGAATACAGTGGAGAATCAATGAAATTAATCAATATATCCTTATAGGTCAATTATATAGATATCTGAGGTAAAAATGTTTAAAACCTTAAATTATAAAATGCCTTAAAGTCTCCACTTTAGTTTATAAAGATGTAAGCTTAATATTTAACATAGTAAGTCCAGCTCTGTGAGATAAAGTGCAAAGAGAAAAATGTAACCTTACACCAAAACCCAACCTACCAGCAATCAACAACTAAAAACACTGGGAAAGTCAGATGTAAAAAAATGGATCCGATGGAGGAGGAAAAAGATGCTAATCTCTGGGGTAAATTATCCAGGGCTTGACATGATCAAATATAATAATAGGAATAATAATGACACTTAGAATTTTGTAGTGCTATAGAATTTAATTTAAAAAATTCTTTCACTATATTATCTCAGTTATGCTATATAAGGAAATCCAACCTCCACTAAGGACAGCTTTCAGTGTAATTAGTTAAAAACAATAACATTCTGATACCTATTCTAAACAAGCATCATATATCATTAATACTGGAAAACACTGAACCACAAATAAAATGTTCTGAGGATACAGATAATTGCATCACTTTAGAAATTATGTACTAGTAAATATACATTTAATCAGCAAACACATAACATTTTCATGTACTGAGATAAAACATAAGAGTATGCAGAATGTAACTTACTTGCTTGCCAATTCACCTCCTGGTGGGAGGCTGGGGATGTTCTCACTTGCTAATGTGCGCATCACATGGACTAAGTCAGGGACGCCTTCCCCCTGCTTCTTTATGATTTCTGGGAATCAGAAGTACTTTTTTTGTAAGTGTTATCCAAATTTAATTTTAAAAAAACTGAAACAAAGATAACTTAGGTTTTTAAAGATGGCATTTACCATATCTGAGATTTTCTAAACTGGTGTAGGGGAAAAAAAATCAAGTTGACCTTTGAACATTTGTGACAAAGGGATGTACAAAATGACACAAAAGATATTTTCCATAATTAATTGCAAAGTGAAAATAAACAAGACAAAAATGTGAAAACAAAATTTCATGTTAAAATCAATGTATTATATAATCAGAAATACGTGTGTACAAATGAGTAGTCTTCTTAAGATGCGAACTAGTTACTTCTGAAATCAGCTCCTCTCTTTAGACTAGAAATATATTTCCTGAACTTTGCCCTGAAAATACACAGATTTTAAAAAAACATAAACAATTTCAAGATTTGAAAAAAAATTAACGTTTAAGTACAGAGGAATTTACTGATTATATATTAATGCAAATTACTTTTACATATAATTTTATATTTCAAAATGATTCCTAAATAGCATGTGCAGATTAGGTTATGTACTAACACATCATTCTATTTAATTTTTGTCTAAAGTATCTTAAGCAATACAGATACATAATACCTTTTCCTTCCTTAGTTGATTATTTGAACAAAGCCTATAGAATGTAAAAGTCTAAATTTCATGACAAAATTTTTAAAAAGAAAAAAACTGATAAATCATACAACTGTATTTGAAATCAATAATTCAGTTATTAAATGAGTATAGTGATATGATCTGCAGTGTTGCCATGCATGTGCATTCATACCACAGAATACCAACAATTATGTACAAGCAACTTAAAGAACTCTCAAACTAATCACTTTAAGTACAAGTCTTTACTTGAAGTTTTAGTGTATTTAATTCTAAATGCAAGATCATGCCAAAGGTATTTGTGTAAGTTATATGTTCAAGTTGTTTAATTTTTTGCTTTAGTAATGTTTACTATACTAAGATATTTTCTTTGTCACCACTGGGGCAAGAAAATTATCATTCTAGTTCTCAATTTGTAAATACCTTTAAAATAACAATGCATATAAAGATCTTTCATTCTTTGATTGAATCTCAAAATATTAATTCATCCGTAAAGCCACCTATTAAAAGACAGACAATACTACCCATATTTCTTTAAATGGCTCAAACTATCCTTTTGGAATTAAGGCCAAATTTTACCATCTATTATATTTTGCCTTTAAAAAAGAACAGTCTTAAATCTGAACAAAAAGCAAGGATCTCAGATTTGGTTTGCCAAGTTCCTTTATTGTGTAATCTTTAACATCTAGTATATTTATTCTACATGGTTCTAATGCTGGAAATCTGCTGTACAAAAATAAAGGGATTTGATGTTTACCTAAACTGCACAATTTCACAATCTAAAGCTGTTATTACACTTAACATACAGTCTCTGCTAAGCCAATACAATTACTGGGTAGATAACTAGACATAATAGAAATGAACACTGATGATAAATTCAATCAATGATGGTTTCAGGTCTAAAAAAATCATTACCTTGAGTCGTCTATACTTGATGTTATCTTACATCTCCTTTGTTAAAATATAAATTAGGATATTTTAATTGTGAAGAAAATTACAGGAAGACAAATTCTTAAAAAAATAATGTAAGACTTTAAAAACTGTTAATATCTCCTATTCCACAGGGGATAATACATGTAAATTATCTGACCATTAATACTACACTAGCCTTGTTTCTTTCTGCTTTAAAAAAAAATGAAAAGAAAGAACTTTAATAAGTATTCCTTAATTGTTCTTGGACTATACATTTTAATTAGAATTGTAAAAAGACTAACTGCCTTTTATTGAACAACACTTATGTATAGAAGATAGGTGTTTCACATACTCATATATAAACACATTCTGCTCTTCCATCCACTAAGTCTGAGAGATTCTAGCAGTTATCTCCAAATTAGCAACTTTAAAGCTTGGGCACTCAGTAGCAAAGATTTAAAAAATATGTACATACAAGTATAATCTTAAATTGACTTAGTACGACCACAATCTTACGTGATATGGTTTAAATTATGAGCTCAATCTTTTCACAACCCAAGAGAGTCAAGTTTTAGATGGGCACAGATAATAGCAGGAGAGCTGAAAGGTCTCTGTTCTTTTCTGTGATGTGGACAGAGAAGCCAAAAGTATTCAAAACAAATAAAATGAGGTTTAGTAAGTCACAGCAATTTACTGAAGGCATGTATTTAAATAAATTTTTTAAAAAAGGTATTCGATGTCTATTTTAGAAGCTAAGTGCAGTACTTTTCACTTTTTAAGATATAATATTTATAATACAAATAGTTATATCCTTTCTGTTTTTTAAATATAGCTTTAATTAATGTAATATTTATTCTCTAGTTGTAGTCTCATCAAATCTCAGTAAAGAATATCATATTCTTTAATCTCCAACTGAATGGGATAAGTGTAATAAAACTACAACATATCAAAAACATTGAGAATTAATGTAAACTGTTCAGGTGGCAATTCTTGTTCAATAATAAGCAATGTAAAACTCAATAGTGTACCACAAAATTATATATCTACAGCAATTATTTAGAATTGCATCAAAATTAAGAGTGCACATTGAAAAGTAGCAATTTATTTCTAAAATTTGATCCCATTTCATAGTAAATGAAACTACTTATTGTTTCTTTAAATCAATAAGAAAACATATATGCCCAAGTTACTTTAAAGTGCCAATAAATTAAATATCAACTTATCCCAATACATATTTTTCTTATGGCTTCATACTTTTTCACTAACCAGCAGTTTAAACCAATGTGATATGACTTGGTATCACTAAATATTTTATTTTACTGTATTATATATAAATAACTTACATTTAAATTATTCATTTAAAATATAAAAATTCTACGACCCTTCGTGAGGAAACAAACTCATTGAATAGTATGTCTAATGAATGAAATATTAAACAGTAACATACACACAGTACTAAATATATCACTATCAAGTGGAGAACTATAAAAACAGCAGCTATAGATAGTACTGCAAATCAAAACCAATCATGATTTTAATATCAGACTGATTATAACTGATATCAAACAGTAAAAAGGGAGAAAACAAAATTAAAGTGCAGATTGATTTTAATAATGCAGGCACAGCAGGATATAATAGTGTGTAGGTCAATGCTTACATGCTATTAGAGGTCTTTAACGTGCAAATTAATGACATTAGGAGCCCAAAATGCATTTTAATGCTATTATAGGCATGCCAAGTTTTTCCGCTTAAAGAAACTGCATAATTTACATGCTTATGGCATATATGCAGTAAACTGGAATTCTCTGAGGAGATTTAATATTTATATCAAATAGTAATTGCATTAAAGATCATTTAATTTTTTTCAAGGATTTAAAGGCATTACATTCGAGAGTTACAAACATCTTTCTAATCATCTCAAAATAATTTGCAGAATTCTGACAAATATACTCCTAGAATTCCAAACTTATTTCTTGATTTTATTCAGCATTTATATTTCTGCTAGGTAGAAACCTAGTATGTCTTCTATTCAGGTCTATGTTGTCCAGGTGTGGCAGTTTATGACTTTGGCAAGAAAGTCTTAAAAGAGTTTAAAATAAAAATTTTAAAGTGGTGGCACATGGAAGTTGTTAACAACCATGCTGTGATCTTCAAGTTATTAAAAAACAAAAATAAAAAAACAAAACTCCTAAAGATCTCAAATTCATATACACGGCTTTACAAAGATGGTAATCAAATTATCACCATCATAAATAATATGTTTATAAATAAATGAACCACAAATTACTTTCCTGGCATAAAATCACTCAAACCAGTGAATTCATCAAGAATTTTAAAGCATACAAACACTTGAGCCTTTTAAAACAAAAGTATCCTTAAGAGAATGTACAGGACCACACCAGTTGTTATTTCTACTGCTAACTGTGATAAAAACAATCACAAACATCTAAACAGCTACTACAGAAATGCTCTTTCCCTCTTCTGTACACTAAACACTAGATGTCAAAGGCATGTAAAGATATAAAAGCTAAAATGTTAAAGTTTGATTGTGTTGAGGTTTTCTTTAATAAAGAAACTTATTTTTTGTTAAATGATCCACCTTCTACTCTGCTTTCCAGGTACTTGTCCAACTCTGCCTCCTTCTTCACTGCTTCTGGCAATACTTTGGGTGCATTTGGGAAACAGATCAATATCACACTCATGTTGTCTCGACTTCCCTGGGAAGAAAAAAATTTGAGAAAATATTTTGGTTTTCTTTTTGCTCTTGGAAGCCTTGAGAACCTTTACAGCCATGCCAATGATAAATATAATTGTTTTAGTGAAAATATATAGTTTTTTCTATATATTTTCTATAATTTTCTAAAGAAATTTATGAATATGTGGAAGGTACACCCCTCCTAACACATATTGTACATATAGTACACAGTATAACCAACACTATAAAAAAACAGGACTGAAACACTACAAGTTAAATTCTACTGCAACAATTTTTTAAAATTCTATAAAACAAAAATATTTCTGAACATTTGTTGGTGGCCTACTTAACTTAAAGTGATATGATATCTAAAGACAAGTACACATATACACAGACATTCATTTAATTCAAGAAAATAGAAAATTCCAGTGGTTTTTTTTTAACTATATGACCTGTAGTTACATGTATACTTGACAAACTTCCATTTAGAATAAATTATAATGAATTGTGGGGCTAATTTACTTTAGATATATAATTGGAATTAGAAGTAAAATTACATATATCAAGTTTATAAACCAGCTTTTAACTTTCAAACTTCAAAAAAGTTGACTTTTTGAAAGCACATTCATTTTTAAAAACACCTAGGTATTCAAAATACTATAATTAAAACACTTGAATCAATGTGGAGTGCCCATACTTCCCCTTCCTATTAGTAATTGGAATTAACTTTTTACATTTTAAATATTTAATCTCATTATATGGGAAAACCGACCTTGTATCATTAGTTTAAGCAAACAATACAAAGATTTAATAATAAAAGATCTTGGGGAATTTAAGTGTGGCAAATGATAAGGTACTGAATAATCCTATATAATTAAAGGCTAATATGTAAATTGTCCCCTCAACCAGGAGTTCAACCAGGAGTTCGACCAGGGGTGGAGTTAGCCGGCCAACTGCCCTGCAACCCCTCCTCCGGGCTGGCCTGGCCTGATTGACCCTGATCAGGGCAGGCCAGCCGGACCCCACCTGTGCAAGAATTTGTGCATTGAGCCTCTAGTTTTTTATAATAGCTTATTTTTAAAGAGAGAGGAAGGGAGAAGAGAGAAACATCAACATGAGAGCACAACATCAATCAGCTGCCTCCTGTATGCCCCCTACCCAGGATTGATCCCACAACCTGAGCATGTGCCCTGACCAGGAATCAAACCAGCAACCCTTGGTGCATGAGATGATGTCCAAGCAACTAAGCTACAACGGCCAGGGCTGAATAATTTTTAAAATAGAGTAGAATGCAAAAGAGAAAAAGTGGAATCTGAACCATATTTACTAATATCTGAAGCTGACAATTCTCTTAAGAAAACAGCTTTTAATTTAGCAAAAAAGCATTTAATTCTCAAGTGCTACAGAATAAACCCAACAAATAGATGCTATTTTTATGTATACTAAAAGGGACAAAGAACATATGCATCATTGTTTGATTCTCCTCAAATTAAAAAATTAATAGTGTACACTATTAAGTTGTGGCTCTATTGAATTTTTAACTTAAGTGCTGAATGTTACATAAACGCGATTCATGTTGGATGATAAAAAAAAACTGATCTCTAAGTACGATCAGATTTTAATTAAGTTTAAGTAGAGCTGGCAGTGTGCATATAAAACTAGAGTATTGCCCTGGCACATGTGTTCCATGGTTAGAATGGTGGCGTGCACACCAAAGGCTCATGAGTTTGATTCCCAGTCAAGAACACGTACCTCAGCTTTGGATTTAGTCCCCGTCCCTGACCAGAGTGCGTGCGGGAGGCAACCAGTCAACGTGCCTCTCTCACATCCTCTCTCACATCAATGTTTCTCTGTCTCTCCACCCCCTACTTTCTTTGACAAGCAATGGAAAAAATATCCTCAGGTGAGAATAAACAAAAAATTAAAATTAAAAAATTTAAAACTATAAAGAGTATTATGTTGACTTGCTATTTCTGTATGTTTAGCCTCAGAAGAGTTGTACATAATCAATATTTGCTTAAAACAATCAAAGAATTAGTCAAGGAGCATTACTGACAAGAGAGAACAGTGTGGTAGAAAGAACACTAAACCTAAGTCAAGTCTTAGATTCTAGCCTTAGTGCTACCATAGAAGTAAATTGTATAACCCTCTAGAAGTCATTTTTAACTTCTCTAGGATAGGGAACAGCATGTACTCAGTACACACTATTTGGTAAACTCAGCACTTCATATGTATACATTAGTTCATTAATTTAGTTACTTAATAATCCCAAGTTAGATATTATTATTTTCATTCAAAAGCTGAGAGGTTGATACTTTGTTCAATACCCTAGAGTACAAAAGTAACAGAAGTAAGTAAGCCTTGATTTTAGGTGTGTATGCCTAAGTCACAGAGCCTTCTCTGGCTTCAGCTTCCTCTGTAAAATAAAGGTGTTGAGCTGGCTCATCTACACACATGAACCCATTTGATCATGCCAACAACCCCATGAGACAGTGTATTAATATTCCTTACCTTTTTTTTTCAATTAAAGAAACTGATTTTCTAAACAGCTTACCCAAAGTCATACACATTCTCATACCAATTTCTTCTGACTCTATGTCCAAGACTATTTCTATTACATCACACCAACTGATTGCTCAGTTCTCTTTGTTGATGCTACAGATTCATTAGACTATAGTCTCAAAGCAATAAATATACTGAGATATTCCAAGGTAAAAATAAAACATTAAAATTCTAAAATACTTTTCATTTATAGATACTGAGGCCTAACCTTTTGCTATCCTCCTTTTTAAAACATGCATTTTTTATACAATCATTTTATCTTTGACAATGTTATACAATATTAAAAAGCTCAAGTAGTCATGGTTACTAAAAGACTAAACATTCAGATTATAACTTGTATATTTGGTAACAGGGTTGTTTATTTATAAAAAGTGTTCCTATAGTTTCATAGTGAAGAGTATCCTGTAATTATGGCAAAATCTTATTTCTGAGAACTACCAGGTTCTAAGATGATTAAATACTAGAGTAGTAATTAAGATGGCATAAAATCATTTTATCTTAAAAAAAAAAAAAAGTCTAGCTACCTTATACAAACACGTGTCGACTACTTCATTGCAAACTTTCTCAAGGTCATCAGTGACTTCAAGTCTGGATCTTACAAAATCACAGAGCTCTTCATTTCCCATAACATCCCAAATACCATCACATGCAAGGATAATGAACTGATCATCTTCTTCAGATCTTTCAATATCATGGACTTCAGGCTCTGGTGAGACAAGCTGCTCTGTAGGACCTTTTCCATGGACACATTTGTAATCAAAGTCCCCAAGTGCCCTCGATACAGCCAGAGAGCCATTCACACGCTGAATCATTACAGAGCCACCTGCATTCTGAATCCGTTCTTTTTCCAGCGGATTATTTGGTTTGTGATCTTGTGTGAAGAAATAAACTTTTCTGTTCCTACAAAGTAAACCTCTCGAGTCTCCACAGTTAATGAAGTAAGTATGGTGAGGAGAAATTAAGACACCCACAGCTGTTGACCCACTTCTATCTGCACCATGTTTCTTCTCTGACATAACTCTCATGTGTTCATCAATCTCCAGAAAACCTGTTCTGATTCCATTCTTTACATTTTCAACAGAAGGTGCTCCTGCAGACCCTTTAAAATCCTGGTTATTGGTGATGTGATCTAACAAATGCTCACAACAGTATTTGGCAACCTGAGAACCAGCATGCCCATCATACACAGCAAAGAATGACCATGTTTCAAGTCCGCTTGGCAAACCAATCACAGCTGTATGTGCATCCTCCATTTCAACTCGCCAGCCTTGCATGCTGCTTAGCCCATATCGCAACCCATTACCCTGCCCCTGGGCATTATGTTTTTCCATCTTTGGCTTGTCTAAAAATGCTCCCATTATGTCTTGATCCTTTAGGTCTGCAAAGGAAGAGAAACAAGAAAATTAATAACTATTTTGTAAACAAAATACATATCCAACAACCCTTTAAAAGTGAAGGAGATACAAAAAAAACTTTCAATAAGAATTTACAACTCTTGTGATTAGCAGACACTCATTGTATTGCTTACTTGGAACCTGGATATTAAGAAGGAAGAATTGGAGGAAAGACTGATCAGGAACAGCTAAGAATGGACAATAAGCAGAAAGAACTAAAGCATCAGGATAAAAATGGAGAATCAAACACTCTTTTCAAGGCATAACCACTTGAGGAAGAAAGACTTGGCAGAAGCCATTAACTTATATAAAGTAGGCTTCACGTTTGGGGTTGCATTAAACATGTGAATTTATCAGGGAATCTCAGAACTAACTTGTATGTGTATATATTAAGAAAAGCCAAGTTAATTCACAGGACATACGAAAGGCTTACTAAATCAAAAATCTTAATGAAACATTAAAACTTTTCAAAGTTTGATTCCAAATCACCTAGTTTTATTCCTACTCCATCAAACCTATGAAAAAGTAAAAAGTGATCTACTCACAAAGGTCCAAATCTGCACCCTTTCCTTTAAGCCTTTGCTCATGTCAGTCCCTTGCCTTTCCTTCCTACTTAAAAAAAAAGCATACCCCTCCTTTAAAGTTTACTTAAATTCTACCTTTTCTATAGGTTTTTCAGTCTTTGATAGTAAGTTATTAAATCATCGTTAAGTGGTCCAGCTTCAAATTTCAAGTTGCAAAATAATTATACATACATGTAACAAAGCTTACATATTAACAAATCTACTGTAATGTATTCTATTAATCTAGTGCTAATAACAAGTATCACTATTATTATACTCTACTAAAGGCCTGGTGCATGGATTTGTGCACCAGTGGGGTCCCTTGGCCTGGCCTGCGCCCTCTCACAATCCGGGACCCCTGGGGGATGTTGGATAGCTGGTATCGGCCCAATCCCCGCAGGCCCAATTCAGACAGAAGGGAGCCCAATCCCCGCAGGCCTGATCCAGACAGGAGGGAGCCCGATCCCCACAGGCCCGATCCAGACAGGAGGGAGCCCAATCCCTGCAGGCCCAATCCAGAAAGGAGGGAGCCTGATCCTGTGCATTAAGCGTCTGTCCCCTGGTCATCAGTGTGCGTCATAGTGACTGGTCGACTGGTTGTTCGGTCACTTAGGCTTTTGTATATATAGATGGTCATTAGGTATAAATTGTAAAGGAGGTGAAAGGGACTATGAACAGCACTGTGGACAAGCCTGAAAGTTTACCTAATCTAATGCTTAGCAATAATAAAAAACTAAAACTCCTGGTGTGAAAGGAGCCCACACAAGGCAGGGAGACAGTTGGTCAGGATTTAGATTGGCTTTTACTTGAGTAATAGTCTAAGAATGTAGAGACTTGGGGTCCAAGTCATCAAATGAGTCACAACTGAACACAAAGCAATCTGAAAAAAAAGATAGAATGAGATTTGATGGAAGTGAAGGGGAGATGGGTAGTAGGGAGTAGGAATGGGAAAAATTACCTAGGTAAATCAGGATACAGTTATGAGACTAGGGGATTGATGAAGTTGGTGATGCTAAACTGAGAAGAAGGTAGGAGAGAAAGGGAAAGAAGAAAAATGAAAGAAACAGTTTACCAGCAACCTCTCCCTGTTCCTTTTCCTACTAGGGTCAAACAAATACACTGGTAGAGAAGTCTGGTTGACTGGTACTATAAAATAATCTCCTGCCTACTCCTCTGCCCCTGTTGTAATTCCACTAATGGAAGGTAAATAATGAAAACTAATCACCATTCATTTCTTACGTTGGTATTCATCAGAGTACTGTTCTGACACAAAGTTGATACACATTACTTTGGTAAATGTAGGGTGAGTGTTTTGACTGAACAAAAATTAACATGATGACACCTTAATGGCTCTAGCTGGTTTGGCTCAGTGGATAGAGCGTTGGCCTGCGAACTGAAGGGTCCCAGGTTCGATTCCGGTCAAGGGCACATGCCCGGGTTGTGGGCTCGATCCCCAGTGGGGTACTTGCAGGAGGCAGCCAATCTATGATTCTCTCTGATCATGGATGTTTCTATCTCTCTCTCCCTCTTCCTTCCTCTCTGAAATCAATAAAAATATATTTTAAAAAAATAAGAATTCTAAAACGTCTCAGTGTTTTATAAGCATTATCTCATTCATTTTCCTCAAAAACCCTATAAAGTATCCTTTATAATGAAGAGGTAATATGCAAATTGACCGTCACACCCTCACAATATGGCTGCCTACGACCAGGTCGTCAGGGAGGTTAGTGAGGGACGACCAAACGACTGAACAGCAGGCTGCGTGGGGAGACCAGGCCGGTGGGGGCGGGGGGGCAGTTGGGGGCGATTAGGCTGGCGGGGGGGGGGGGAGTAGTGAGGGGAGACTAGGCTGGCAGGGGGGGCAGTTGGGAATGACCTGGCTGGCACGGGGGGCAGTTAGGGGTGATCAGGCCAGCACGCAGAGGCAATGAGGGGCGATCAGGCCGGCAGGGAGGGGCAGTTAAGGGTGACCAGGCAGGCAAACGGGTGAGCAATTAGGAGCCAGTGGTCCAGGATTGTGAGAGGGATATCTGACTGCCAGTTTAGGCCCAATCCCCGAAGGGTCCCCAATTGGAGAGGGTGCAGGCTGGGCTGAGGGGACCCACTCCCGTGCATGAATTTCGTGCACCAGGCCTCTAGTGTAATAATAATATCTCCAATTTACAGGTGAAGAATCTTTGTTAGACTAATGAACTTGGCCAAAGTCACTCAATTGATCAATTTAGAGGAATCAAGACTCTAATTCAAACCTGCCTGACTCTAAAGCACCACTTACTATTAAGGCAATGGTCCACACAAATATTATCTGTGGACCTTCTGAAAACTCAAGATTAACAAATCAGAATTTCCAGGGTAGGGTTGGAACCTAGGCATCTGTGGAAAATATTAGATATAATGCCTAGACAAGTAGAGAAGTCTGGTAGGTAGATGACTGAGCCAGGTGAAGGTAGGCCATCTGCTGAAGGTAAAGCAAGTTGCCTTATCTCTTGACACCTTTAGCTAGGCTAAAGAGAAAGAAGGAGGTATTATATTAAAGAGGCTTGATGACCACTAATCTAGCATTCCTTATCTGTGCAATGAGCATATTAATACCTCTGAATATTGCCGCAAGACTTAAATGAGGTTATGAGTGCAAAGTAGCCATATAGAATCTGACAAAAATGATGCACTCAGCAAATGGAAACTAATTATTATTACACTAGAGGCCCAGTGCACGGATTTGTGTACCAGTGGGGTCCCTTGGTGTGACCTGCAGGGATCGGGCTGAAACTGCCACTTGGTAGGCTTGCTGCCGCTCTGCTGCGGTCTCCAGGCTGCGGCGGCCAGTCATGAGCCCTGCGTCTGGCGCCCGTCGGTCAGCTGAGTGGCACTCCTACTGTGGGAGCACACTGACCACCAGGGGGCAGCTCCTACGTTGAGCATCTGCCCTCTGGTGGTCAGTGCACTTCATAGTGACCCACCGACCTGTCATTTGGTTGCTTAGACTTTTATATATATAGAAGATAGATTCCTACATACGTAGCCACATCTAGATTCTAATTATCACCTAACAGGATCCTGACTGTCTCTTTTATAGAAAAGTCCAGAAATTATTTTCCAGATAGAGATATGAAACTACCAAATAAATAATTCTTTTAAGATAAATAGGGTATACTTCCTAAAACCAAAACCCAAATTTTTGAAATACAAATATTAGAAATGTAAAATTTTAGGTCCAGCTCAATAGCAAATGTATAATATAGTCATGGCAAATTAATTTTGTGGTTAAACTTTAATATACTGAAAATAGGCAATTCATAAATCTTACCTCCTGGGGTTCTGAGTAATTTATAGAATCCTGGTGAAGGAGCCAACTATAGCTACATACATATAGCAGATGGTTATGTAAATATAATTCTTACCAAAAGTTATTTACTTACAAATACTATGTTTACATAGTCATCTTCCATAAGTGAACTACTAAAGAATATTTTATTTAGTCAAATTATTAAATTGGCATATATTTACAAGTAATAGACCCCAAGGGGGATTCAATTTACCCATGAAAGTTTAAATAAGTTTCTGAGAGAAATTTTAGTTCTCATCAAGTCTTAAATCTACTCTGAGCACATACTGGGTCTCATTACAACACTACCATTATCAGTTGATCTGGACATTTCAAAACAAACTACTATAACAAGCATAAGACTGAATTCATCAATGATATAACCAGAAAATTTAATGAACATTTGGGTCTTTTAAAACCAAACTAATTCCCAAATTGAAAAATTGTAAGGCTGGGCCAGAAAATCACTCATTGCCCTGGCCTGTGTGGCTCGGTAGGAGTGTCGTTCCTTGCACCCGAGCCCTTATTAATCAGAAATTCAATATAATCACAACTGGGCCTTTACAATTTTTCTTTTAAAAATGTATTCTTATTGATTTCAGAGAGGAAGGGAGAGGGAGAGATTGAAACATCAATGATGAGAGAGAATCATTGATGGGCTGCCTCCTGCATGTCCCCTTATTAGGGATCGGGCCCGCAACCTGGGCATGTGCCCTTGACCGGAATTGAACCCAGGACCCTTCAGGCTGCAGGCTGACACTCTATCCAGAGCCAAACCAGCTATGGCACAACTGGGTCTTTTTGTTCCCAGACCTTGATTCCAAAATTCATATGAAAGAATAAATGTTTGGGAATAGCCAAAAGAGTCTTCAAAACATGAGAATTTACCATACCTAATATTAAAACAATTTAAGAGGGATTGATCAGTGGAATAGAATTTACAGTCCAGAAAGAGAGCTATGAAAACAAAAATTCAATAAATAGTATTAGAACAGCTGTCATATCCTCTTGCCCTCCTGTGGAGAGTAGCTGAATTCCTATCACACATCTTAAAATACCAGATAATTAAAGATTTAAGTTTGAAACACTAATAATAAAATGATGCAACTACATGTAGGCAAATGTTTCTATAATCTTATGATAGAAAAGGATTTTATTTAAATATAAGTATGACATCAATAGCAAAAAGGGAAAGACTGACTGCAAAGGAATAAAATGTGACTCCAGAGAATAAAATCTCTACACTATAAAGCTCAGAAACTTGAATGGCAAATATTTTTAAATAAGTATTTGCAGTGTATGTAATCAAATTAATATTCCTAATAGACAAAAGGCTCCTATAAGACAACAAAATGAACAATTTAAAGGAAAAGAAATGGACAAAGAACATGAACAAACAATTCAAATGGCCAATAAATATATGGACCACCAATTTCATTAGCCATTAAACACAAATTTGTTTTTACATATTACTTTATCAAGAGTAAAAATTTACAATGCCTACTAATGGCAAAGAAGTAAATATATATCCTTTTCGTACATAGGAGAGCAAACTGGTACTTTTCTGAAGGATATGTATGATATACATTAATTTTAAATGTTGACTTTCATATAAATATTACGTATTTACATTTTGAAGTGCTTCTCTGTTTCAAATGTATTTTTAAAGTATTTTAACTATAACACAGAACATTAAGAGACCAAGTCACCTTTGCTAAAGATAAATTCTTAAGATACAAAGTACTTTGTGAAGCTGAAACTGTGAAACTTGGGCTCAAGTAACAGCGACAGAGAGAAGTCCACATCCTACAGGGCCTAACAACGTCCCTGTACAAGGCTGGGATAGACCCCAGGCTCACTGAAGTTACTAGTATGTGCTTAGTGAACAGAAGTATAAAGAGATAAAAGCCTAACCATTTTTTAAAAATTGAATTTATTGGGGTAACACTGGTTGGCAAAACCATATAGGTTTCAAGTGTACAACCCAGAAAAACATCTGCAACTGCATCGTGCACCCATCACCCCAAGCAAAGTCTCTTTTCATCCCCACTCCCCAGCCCTCTTGCCCTCTTCCACCTATCCCCCCACATTCCCACTTTCCCTCTGGCTTATCACCATGCTATTTGTCTGAGTCTCTCTGTGTGTGTGTGTGTGTGTGTGTGTGTGTGTGTAATATATATATATATATATATATATATATATATATATATATATATATATATATTTTTTTTTTTTTGGCTAATCCCTTCACCTTTCATCCAGACCCCTCCTCCTCCCTGATAGCTGTCAGTCTGTTCCATATATCCATGACTCTGTTTCTATTTTGTTCGTCAGTTTATTAGATTCCACATACAAGTGAGATCATACGATATTTGTCTTTCTCTGACTGTCTGAGATAAGCCTAATCTTGATGTTATCAAGAATGAGGGGAACCATGTGTTTAACGTAAGACATGGTTCAAACTGGGCACCCCAGGGACAACATGTAGGCACATGCAAAAACATTAAATACGAAGGGCGAAAAGAAAGAAAATAGCCCAGTTGTGTGGCCAGTTGATTGAACATTGTTCCTGCCAGTTTGATTCCTGGTCAGGGCACATGCCGAGGTTGTGGGCTTGATCCCCGGGATGGGGTGTGTGGGAGGCAGCTGATCAATGTTTCTCTCTCCCTTCTTCTCTCTAAAATCAATAAAACACCTTTTTTAAAGAAAACAAAACTAATTTCTATTTAACATGAGACTGCAAAACCAAATTCCAACATACCAGTATGTGAG